AGCGCCACTCCAGGGGGCTCCACAGCCAACCTGACGGGAGTAGCTAAGGGAAAAACTTTCTGACAACCATGCACACAGCGCGCGCACACCTAATTTGAATCGATATGAGCAATCACTCAAAGAACTATGAATTCTTTCCTTGTCGGTCTAGGAGTAGATAGTTCGCAATGGGAGCTGCTGGGTGCTGAGCACTTTTGAAAACCTAAATACATATTTAGGTGCCTAAGTGGGAGCTGCTGGGTGCTGACCTTTTTTGACAATCTGCACCCTATTTTTTTTAATCTTGCCTCAGTAATACTATATAGCCACATCATACTGCCAATGGATATCGACCTTTCTGTGGGTGGCAGATTGGGATGGGCTGTGAACTTCCCTCTCCAGAGCTAAAAGGTGAAATCTGTCTCCACATGCTTGAAAGGCAGCAAGTTTGTGTGGACAGGAGATCCTGGTTCAGAGAGAGAGTAGACCTGGTCTAAATCCACAGACTCTTGCCAGTATAGTAATGTCAGTTACAGGTGTGATTTTTGGTGACATTTCTATATTAGCAAAAGCCCTAGTGTAAATGCAGTTATACTGGCATAACATTCTTTGTCGGTATAGTTTATTTTGTTCAGAGAACTGGTATAAGCTATACCAGCTAACACACTTTTATTTTATTTTATTTTTATTTTTTTTGCTATACCAGCACACCTTTTCTAGTGTTCTAGGACTTGGAGGGGAACTTCAGTGAGGGATAGAACCTCACATAGATACAATAGAGTATGTCTGTCAGTGGTGTCTGTGTTCAGTTTGTTAGGCTACCTAGGTTCAAACTCCATATCTGTAAAGAAGGGGTAACAAATTCCTCTTTAGTCAGAAGACTTGCATCAGTTCTTGCCCTGCTCTTGTTTCCACCATGGAAATAAAGAAGGCTTTGTATTTTGGTGTTACATATTGGGCCTCAGTGGTAGCACATGTAACAAAGGGTTAAATAGAGAGACCCATCGCACCTCAGATGCAGGGAAAATGTAAGAGACCTGACGGGAACCTTGGCTCTTAGGAGTGTAGGGTAAAGTCCTCATGGCATCGTGGCTCTGAGGATGGTATACAGGGCCAACAAGCCACTTCAGCCCTGAAGAGAGAGTGCAAATCCTACGGACAACATAGCTGTGGGGACGGTATACAAGACCTGTGGGATCCTAGTGTGCATAGAGGCCATGTCTCATCATCACAGCAAAGCTCAGAAGCACAGACTGCATAAAGGCTCTTTTGTGACAAGAGTCACCAAGATAAAAGGAGGCAGCGACCTGTATGTGGTTTTGGTAGGAAGAAAAATTACCTTGTGAGCACCAGGCAAGGTTTGAGGTAAAGGGACCTCAATGTGATGTGGCTGTAAGTTAAAACCCTTCTGTTCTGGTAGCTTGTGGTTAGAGGTGGTTTGAAGAATACATGGGTAGAATTGGGGGTGGGGCCACTTAAAATGTGCTTCAGTCATATACGCTAGCAGGGAGAAATGTAGTTTAGAGAAGGGGTTTTCTGTAATTTAATTACATTAAACCTCTTGTTAAACTTTTCCAGAGGTTTATCTTTCAGTTTAGGAGTTATTCCCAAACTCTCAACAAAGCAAAAGCTGCCTTAGTCTTCTTCAAAGCAACTTCAGGAGCCTTTTCAATAGATGGAGTACACTCTGTGTGTGAGGAGCACCAAACACTGTGTATCCAGTCTTAGAGTTGTGTGCACTTTGTGTGGAAATATGCTTTCGACTTACATCCTCCAATTATTCAAAATACCATTTCTAAGCTCATCTTCCTCTTCCATTGCTCTGATTCCATCACCCCCAATTTTGAATACTTTTACTGGCTCTACCTCTCTCATTTGACATCAAGTTCAAACTATTTGTTCTCATCTTCAAGACTCTAAATAGTTCTGTTCATTCCCACATCTCAACTCTCAGCTCCTGCCACTCACCTACTTGTACCATGTGCCATTTCCACTTATTTCAGGCAACCTCTGTATTCTTCTCCAATAAATGCATCTGCTTTTTCTCACCCTTCCCTGTTGCCTTGAATGACATCACTGTTCTTGTATGCCAGGCAGCTTCCTTTTCCTTCTTAAAATCTATCCTCAAATTGACTTCTTCTGACTTTCTAATGCTGCCCTTTACCCCTAAACCAAATTAATAAAAATGCTATTTTCAAATAGATACAAATATTTAAAGTTACAAACAAACAAACAACCCTGAAACAATCTCAATACAAAACCAAGAAACCTGTGATTACCTTAATTTGTGTAAACCTTGTCCTTCATTTACCTGCTCATCTTGCCTCTTGTTTTTTCTGTGTCTTGTACAATTGGAGATTGGAAGCTTTTCAAGGCAGAGATTATGTTTTATCTGTAAAATGCCATGCACTGTATAAAAACTAAATGATATTAATGGAGACCCTGGGACCCTCTTAATTCAAAGTGTATCTGAATTTATTAAACTACTTACAGACTCATTTGCGTTGGAAAGGACCTCACAAGTGACTCTGAACACAAAGATAACACAGTGATAGATCTGGTATAAAAACACAGATTAGATAGTCATCTAGGCTGAATCACAACAGGTTTGTTATTTTCCCTAACCAAAATTTAGTACTCTAAATGAGTGTTTTGTCTTAGCCTTGAACATTTCAACTGAGGGTGATTCTACCACCTTCCCTGGTAGCTTGTTCCATTGCTGGACTGTTCTTAGAGTTACAGCATTCTTCCTTCTGTAGCTCAAGTTTTATGACTTCTTATTCTGTTCTAATTGACAAAGTACAATAATTGGCACCTATCCTCTTTCTACCATTCCTCTGAGTACAGTGAAGTTTGTGCAACACATCCATCCTTATTAGGTAATTTCCTGTCTTAAATGACGGCCCCAAAGTATCTTCCAATATACTGACTACAATTGAATTTAGTCATTAGTAGAAGGCCACCTGAATTAAGCATCACTTTTAACTTGTTTTACCTTCCAGTGGGTGCTTAAGATGTGTTTCACTGTATTAACAGTCAGTTAGCATGTCTTCCCTATACATGATGTCCAGATAGCCACAACTACTTTTGTTCAGTTTATCGTCTATTATAACCACAGTCCAACCAGTTATCCATATTCAAGATTTATGTATTTCACTGTTCCTTCACATTTGTTTTTAATTAATTTTATTTTATTGATTTCTGATCATTTTTACAAGTTATGATCACCAATGTGCTTTATTTTAACCCTAGTCTTTCAAGTACTTTTGATCCCTTCACAGACATGCATCATCAATAAATCTGATTAGTGAACTCCCCTCTACAATCTACAAGTCAAGAATGAAAATATAAATAGGATTGGACCCAGAATGGCTCTCGGTAGGATCCTACTTGACAAAGAACCATTAATGAGGATTCTACATTTGATTTTAGCTAATTTTGTATCTCTTTTAGAGTAGTTACATCTAATCTATATTTCTGTAGTTTTCCTTTTATTCTTATGAACATCAAGGGCTACCCAACTGCTGCATTCCCTTTACCCACTAAGCTTGCTACCTATCAGAGATGAAGGTGGTCTTTGATGTGAACTATTTAGCAGCTTGTTTTCCTCAAAGTAAACAACAAGATTTTCTGGTGCCAGCAAAACAGGAATGTGATGCTTAGGTACCAGTCAGTATGGAAGAAATTCAATCTAGAACATCAAGAGTTAACCTCCCATCATGTCCCAGCCCCAGCCCATTGCTAATATGGTTTGTTTGTTGGGTTCTTCAGGGCTGGGAAAGAGAGGAACTTGTGACCGGCCTTTGGTTTTACCAGTGTAAGAGGGAGGAAGTTTGCACTTTAGCTGAAATTCCCCTTCACACATAGTCCCAGGTGAGCGGTGAGCATACTCCTGCCAAAAGCAGAACCTGTGGCACAGGGCATAGAATGAAGGGGAACAATCCAAATGACCACAATTCATTTTTCCAAAATAAGAACAACTAATTGCAAGATGAGGAGGCATTTTGCAGAGCTAGAAAGAATGTCAGCTCTACACAGGCTGCAAGGCTTCAACCCTCACACCCTGCTCCATGCCTCCTCATTTTCCTGCCAGCACCAGGCACAATGATAGGGCACATATTTTCAGTGCAGCCACATTTAAGTAAAACAGCAGGACAGAGAGAGGGAGGATGATGTATGGGAAGAAGGGCTGGTGCAGAGTCTGCTCAGGAAAATGTTAGGATCTGAATCTTCAGATTCTTTACACAAAGGGACAGGTACACCCTCCTCACTGAGTTTCAGAGCCTGGGCTGTAGCCTCAGTCTGGACATCTATGCTACTATTTTTAGCCCTGTAGCATGAGTGAGTTGACCTGGGCTCTGAGACTTGCTGCCACAAGTCTTTTTTTGCAATGTAGATCTACCCAAAAAGGGACACTTTTCCACTCCCCACTAAATGCTTTCCCTTTCTACAATCCAATAAGTTCAGAGACCTCAAGGAAACATATGAAGGGTCTTAACCACTTTCAATTAATCACTTAGCTCCATATCAGAAGTGGTTATTAAGCAGTGTCTATGGAGTTCTCTTCAGCCTTTTGAACAACTTAAGACCATATCTTTGAGCATGCATTGCTCCCAGAAAGAGGTATCATGGACACTGAGATATGTTGCTGCATCACTCCAACACAGGGCTACCATTAATGCAGGCTCATGTCACTGTATTACCATCATAAGCAGAGTCACTAACTCAGATCTGTGTCACTGCATTAAACCGGAGAGCTGTAACATCACTGTGCTTCAAACTCTACTTATATGAAGCATTCTGTTCTCTCACCGTCAATAAAAAACACTGCACCAGTATGCTTGTTTACTGGTGGGGCCTGCGCTGTTGGTTATATAGTAAGCACCTGCCTATGGCAGATCTGGCTGGTGACAGACTTCCTGTTTCAGCACTACAACTCCTTGAAATGAGATTTATGCAAACTGGGTTTGAGGCTGATGTGATGTCACACTGAGCTGATACAGCCCAGGGACTATCTCCCTTCTACAGACATTTGATAAAATCAGGAACTTCAGATAAGTCTAGGGAAGGTTCTCACCTCAGAACCTATTACAGAAAAGTATGAAAGTTAATTAGGGCCCGTCTCCTATCCTGAGATCCATCACAACAAGGGGACTTCAAGGAGTCCAAAGATCTCACTTTTGTTGTGTTGTGTTTTTTTGGTTTTTTGATGCAATTTTTAAAGTCAGTTATTCTGGATGTTTGAAAACTGAAATTAGAAAATTCACTAAGAAGTTGGCTGAATGTTGCAAGCTTGCAAAATGGAAGGATTTCCCCTCATTTCCCCTGTGAGTATATGGGGTTAATTCCAAATATGGCTCATTGGGTTCAGCAACAAAAGACAAAGCAAATTAGGATTTACTATCTGAGAATGCCTCTCTTTTTGTCTGTGTTTGTAATGCCTGAAAGTTGGGCTCAGGTCAATGTATAAAGCTAGTGACAAGTTTTCTAATGAATGGGAAGTTAATGTTTGCTCTCTGAACTTGTATAGTTTCTGAGTATTTTTATATTTTATAGACATAACACATCAGTAAAACTTTTCTCCAAAGTTGGCTTTGTGGTATAAAAGCTGGGTTTTGTTTGAGGTTGTAATTATTTATAATCTGTATACTTAAACATAATTTTATGTATTTAAAATATCTGCCAGTCTGTGAGATAAAAGCAACCAAGTGCTGGTTTTATATTTTGGAAACTCCACGGCTGCTTGCTATTTGCAAGGGACAAGATTCTAGTCTCTGGATTCAGTTTCTATAGATTTTGAGATTTTTATTTTAAATATGAGTGAAATTTGTGTCTTTGAAATAATCCTAAATCTCCCCTACTTCACTCCACCCATCTGTGTATAATAGGGTTGAAAATTTTCCTTTTTTGGAATATAAAAAGTCAGCTGGAAAGTTCAAGATAAAACCTTAACTAAATCTCTATATTTTTTTCCAGAGACACAAACTTTCCTTTTTATAAGTGATCATTGGATTTTTCTGCCTTTGAAGCTTTGTTACACTGTTAACTCTTACTTTAAAGTAATTAACTTGGGGATTATTGTTTATTAGGAAAGTTGTTTCACCAGTCTGCTGTTCAGACACACCAGCTTTGTAATGGGGAGTTTCTGAAGTAGAATGGGTGGGTGATGGCCCTGGGTACACTTGTTAACTCTGTATAAATTCCAGAGAAGTCAAATGAGGGGATTTTATTGGGCACATGCTTTACTTACAGGCCATGTGTACTCAGTTAGGAGACAGTACAGCCCCAGGGACACTTTGGCAAAATTTTTACCAGGTTTTCTCTTTGCCATCTCCCATCGCGCTACCTAGCCTCCATAAATATATCTCTCAATTGCTTTCAGTTGTTGCCATCAATGTTGCTAGCAAAATAAGTGTGACCGTAGCAGGATCTCTCCCTTCACACACTATTGCAATATTTCTCAGATCATGGAGATCATGGAATCCAATAGTTACCCCCTGGGTGGAAGGAACATGCAAAATTATTAGTGTCCCATGTTGCCTACATCAGTCCAGTCAGTCTGTCTGTGAATCTGTCAGGATCATAATTTGAAAAGGATTTGAGTGAATTGAATGAGTATCGAGATTTCCACTGTTCTCCATAAATGACTCTGGGCTTGTTTTGAGGTCATGCCACAATTTTGAATTCTCCAACAAGCATTACTATAAAAACTGACCAAATCTTCCCCTGGAGTCTGAGGAAAAATAAAGAGAAGGGGTTTCCTAACTGCTCTAACGGTCTCATTCACCTATAACCCTCTTTCTCAGGAGCCTCTCTTCCACTCTCAAATTCCAGAGTGTGAAGTGAGTGAAAATCCAGCACCATCTACCCATTATTATAACCTTTGTTAATCCATTCAGATTGGAGTTCTAGCTACACTCTGTTCAGAGGAGAGACTATTTGTAGTGGAAATAGAATCACATCTTATTGAAGCATCTGACAGAACAAATATTTTTTTCTGATTTATGTGATTAAAATATTCAAAAATAGATTACTTTGTATTTTCCACAATTTTTAAATTTTGTTTTGAGTTTAGGTGCTTTGCGTACCAGCAATTTGAGCACACACAGTTTCACTGTAAGTGGCTGGCCCACTGGGACTCCTTAGGGGACAGACATTAGCTGTTTATAGAGTCAGCGTTTCTGTGAAGTGACACTTCCTTCTTCTGTCCCTCCCCTTTCAGTTTAGGGTGTGTCTGTAACTGCCTTCCTCCTGATTCGGCTAGAGAACCATTAGGCTTGGTTTGGAAAGTGATGGCTGAATATGGTTAAAAGTCACAGTTTCTTTCTTTGGAGGTTAAACAATTAATGTGGAAGATGCAGTGGGAAGAATCCTATAAACTAGGACAAATGTTCTCTCTAGTACAGTTCTGGATCTAACCACTTTCACACCAAGGCAGAAAGGTCTACAATTGTAAACCTCTGTCTCGTGGTGCCCTGAGATGCCTGAGAATCTCTAAGGAGCTGCCTGTAGAACCAACAGTTTTGATGTGAAATTTTGTGTGTGAGAGAGGGGAAAGAAACCCTCCATATACAGCATGTCTAGCACACCTGCATTTCCTGCGTGGGCCACTGAGTCTATGGAGTGAAGAGGTTAACATGATTTTCCCCTTTCTAAAAAAGAGTTTTGTAAATTTTTCCAAGGAAATAAGGTTGAGTTTGTCCATAAAACCAGTCTCAGCTGCACATCATGGGGAGTTGTGTTGGGTATTTTTGAATCACACACCAAGGAGAAAAAAAAAACAAAACAAAAACCCAAACAGAATTCAGTAAATGTACAAGCTGATTGAACCATATGACAAAAACTTAGACAGAGAATTTATTATTTGGAATTCAGTTGGACCACTTGCAGCTCTTCTTAACTTCTCATTTACACTGTCCAAATAGCTTTGTAGCTCTTTTCTTGCTGCAGTAATTTTATCTAGATTTGCCAAGCCAAGGGGTAGGGTGGGGCAATTCTTCCTTTAATGTCAATGACATATTTGATTTATGTGTTTGCTGAACACTTGCTTGAGGTTGGAAGATAGTCTTGGATGACCTACTGAAGCTCAGGGCATGTAGGAAAGGAGACCAGCTTCAAAGCACAATCAGTTCCTAGCAAACCTTCCTGTCACCTTCCTCAAAGAGCATGGAATTCTCATAATACACATGAGTTAAAATCTCTAGAAAGTAACATGTGCTGCTCTTTTGTTTCCTGTCTGGAAAAAGCTTTCAGATCAATGTGCATCATAGAAGTAGTAATGGCTTAAACTACCTGGTAAATGTGTGCCTGGTTGGGGGGTTCCAGAAGAAGGCAGGCTAGCCCAAAGTGTGTGGTAGTGGGGAGGCCAAGAGACCATAGGAGCACATGCTGGTGTCAATGGGAGAAGGAGGCTCAGAGAAAGCTCATCTCTCTTCCTGATGATAGACAAAAATATAAGTTTAATGAAACCTAAAGTAGAAACTAAACGGTGATTTAAGGAGGGATCTTTGAGATGAATTCTATGAAGGATAGATAAAACATTCAGTCTTACTATGACAGAGTTCATCAAGGAAAAGGAGAGAGAAAACAGAAATTGGCATCAATTTATTATCGATCTTCACATATTAGTCATCCCATCCATACAGCTGAGAGAATCTATTTAGATACTTTGGTGATAGGAAGTTCCATTTTAAGGTCCTTGTGAGGAGCAGACTGGCATGGGATGCAAGAATTAATATGATATTTTTTCTTTGTCCAAGGGGTCAGTGACCAGGAAGGCCAATAAACCACAAGGCAGAGAATCTAAGGCCAAAATTTTCAAAATAGGATGTCTAAAATCAAGGCATCTAAATTCATAAATAAATAAACCTATACAAAAGAAGCCTGATTTTTAGAGGCGCTGAGCACCCACAGCTCCCACTGGAGACAATTAGATTTCTGAGTGATAATCATGTCACGTTTAGTGAGGTGTCTAATTTTTAATTACCCAAATTTTTCTAGTCCTGGTGGTTTTTTAAACTTTTTAGACTTTAAAATCATATTATTCTGATTACTCTCTTGCCTGTTTATTCCCACTTCATTTCTGAATTGGATTTCAATTGGCTGTATCTCAAAACTCTGTGCAGCTAGAACCAATGCTGACTGGCTTAATAATTGTGCTGAATTTATAATACTAGCTTTCAAATAGGAGAAATCGTTATTTTTTTTTACCTCTAGGAGTTTGAGAGACTACTGGCTGCTAAAAATTATACTGAAATGGGGGAATATGGAAAATTTGCTACTTGATGATTTTCTTTCTGGAACTGACCTCTTCTCCCATCAGACATTTGCTCTGTGCCTTTCTGATACTGATTGCAGCACAGACTTCATGTGACTCTGGAGTTCTCTTGTGAGGGAGGCCTTGGGGAAGAGGGCAGTCTCAGAACAGAAGTCACCAGGTAACACATTTTCTCTGTGTTCCCACCTCACTCCCAAATTTGGGGAATCACTAGTAGTAAGGAACAAATATTAGGGAAGGAGAAGCAAGTAGGAAAGAAGAAAGTTCTCTCCCTTATCTAAAACTGGTAGTATTTATCTATTTTGGGACCACTGCTTGGCCTTCCTGCCAAGGGATGCTTCTTCAGAGATTTGAATGTGAAGTTGGTTATACTTTATAAAACTTTTTACGGATGACAGGTGGCAGCTTTACAGATTTCCTCTGTGGTGGCTGAGGCCCTTTCTGTACAGGATGCTGCTGTGGAATGTGTTGAATGACCCGTTCTGGAACTTGTTTATGTGTGGCTGAATATGTTTCAATGATACAGCACTTGATCCATCTAGCTGTGGAGGACTGGAATGCTTTCAGACTCAGGTAGTTGGGGTGAAAGGAAACACACAGATGTTTTCCTGAAATGATCTGTATTACAAAGGCTAATGTTTTAACTGCACTTTGCATGTACAATTCTTTTTCTTTTGTGTGTTGAAGTTTCTGTCAAAAAAAGTAAGAATTATTTCTTATGATTTATGAGTGGGGGGAGAGTCAGTGATGGTTACAAATGACTAAGAAGCAGCACTAAGGCTCATGTCTTCTAAGAGGAGAGATTTCAGAAATTCTTACTGACATGACTGAATCCAGGCTGCATGTATATGGAAACAAAATACAGTGAGTTAACTTGTAGAGACAGTGGAAGCTAGAACATCAGTTCAGAACATTATCAGCCTCTTGAGCTTTAATACAGACCAGACTCCTGTTTTTTTCCCCACTATGAAGAAAACAGAGTACAACACTCAGCACCTTTTCTCTTGAGGGATTGTTACCATCATTAAGCTGTTGGAGGTATGAGAAATCAGGATTACTTGATGTTTCTGATCACTTGTAGTTGGAGAGGGCATGAAGAAAGGATGTGGAGGAGAAACCAAGAGGACCAAAGAGTATCCATGCTGTCCTCTGTCCTGTACCCACAGATCTGAAATCTGAGAAGTGGTATATACTGCCCTGTAGGCCTATTTCTGGATGGAGGCAGGTTCCGTTGCAGTCATACTGATCTGGAAGGAAGGGTTAGACTCATTGTGATCTGGGCTTCCCTTCAGTGTTTTGGGACTAGGTCTTACCCGTCAAATAAGAGGAGTCCCTTTTCTGGTACCTCTGTTTGTGGGTACAAGTGACTACAGGTACAGCTTCTGTCCTGTATAAGAGCCTACTGTCCTTCTTGACTTTTGCTTTTCCTGGTTGTTAGCTACCACTTTATCAAGCTTTCCCTGAACAGTCGTGCCTGAGAATTTTGAGGCATAGAAGATTTGCTTTGAATAAATTATCCACTGGCCAACAAGTTAGTTCTATGGATTCTCTAAGGCCATGGCAGCAATCTGTCTGTCTCTTTAGCATTGTTTTTTATTCAGTTGTGGCTTTTTAAGGCATCTCATTAGAACATTCTAACAGGTGGTGCTAACAAAGTACATGGTGCCAGTGAGGCTTTGAAGGACACTGAAGAAGCTTTGAAGTCCCTTCCAAGGTTCACTTCTATCTTTCTATCCTCTTTATCCTTTGGGAAGAAATCGCCCTCTATAGGAATTGCCACGTCCTTTTCCAGAAGTGCCACTGCTGCATTGATCTTGGAGAAAGAAAGACTTTGGGTTCTAGGACCCCTGTAACATTTCAGTGGTCTGCCATCTCACCCTTTCCCCTTGGTTGTGAGTTTCACACTCCTCCCTACTGCCATCTTGGAAGGAGTAAATCAATGAGGAAAGGCAAATTCTGTTTTAGTTTTCAATGGGAAATACTTCTCCCATGTGCTAACCTGCTCATCTTCTTGTTCTGACAGACTCTTAATGGCAGCCATCACCTTGTTTTCCCCAGGTACTCCCCATGTTTTCAAACAAATCTGGGGGGGGGAAGATGGAAGAGAGAACCTCTCCTGCTTCTCTAGCTTGGTTTTATCATAATCCAAAGCTAAGAGTACCCTTTTCTTCAGGCGAGGAGCTAAATCTAATGACAGGAGATGAGGGTCTGGAATACTTTCTGACTTTTTCCTGTTCTTTTACCTTTTTTTATTTTTTTTTTTTGAGGTAGTGGTGGTCATCAGTCCTTTGAGCAGTTGCTTCACTTTTGGATCTTAGTCATCTTGGGTGGGAGGGAGCTTCTAAGCCACAGTACACATCGACAAATACACAAGTAAAGAGGAGGAAGCTTAGAGGGGCAGCCCAAGAACTCCAGAGCTTCTTTTTGGCAATAAGGAGAGTCAGAAAAGATACTAGATTCTTTCCCAAGTGACTCAATTACCTACTTAAAAACCTGGGCTGCGACCCTCGAACTTTCCCCTTGGATTGAATTGGATTGAGGGTAGGTGAGTTTGGGGAGATTTTTTAATTTAATTCTGAAGAGTGTACAGTCAGCGAAGACAGTCAGTTCTGAAAAGACTTGGCTGTTTGGGGAGGGATGCATAAGCCCTACCAAGTCAAGTCTAGATGCTAAGCTCCTTCCCCTGGTCACAGCAAGGGGAGCACAGGCTGGAAGGAATTATGGCAGACATCCTCCTTTGTAGATCCTGACAAGGCCTCCTTGTGCTGTTTGCATTCCTCTGCCATGACGAGGGAGGAGAAAACAAACAAGGGAAGGAGCATGGCAGGGCTTCCCATTTGGGGACCAAAACCCCTAAAATTTCAGTCACCTAAGGGAGAGAGGACAGAGAGAGGGGGAAGGATTTTGATCACTGCAGCTCCAAATTTTGATTTAAAAACTAGGATTGCAATAGAAAAGTGGGATCACTGAGCAGCCAGTCTGCACTGTTAAAGGCAGAGAATCTAGCAGAAGGGATGTGGACAAGGCTGAAAAGCCCTGTGGCATTTTCACAAAGAGAAGTGTAGCCCAAATATCTCAGGCTAGGGGAGAGGTCAGAATGTAGAGGCAAGATATTAATTGGAATGATGTTTTAAAAATGAGTGTCATCTAATTTATTAAATTATTTTCAATATTTGCGTGGCTCTTGAATGTTAATTAAGCAAAACATCTCAGGATAAGAAAAAAATATAGAAATGTTTATATTTCTCTCCAAACTGTAATTTCCTCTCGCAGCAAAGTCTGAGAGGCTATTCATTATACTTGACATTGTAAGAATTTCCTGTTTCTGCAGAAAGAAAGTACTATGACAAAGTTATTTGGACAAAAGTTTAACAAAGTCCACTGAATACTACTGCTATGTTGTTTTTCTTGAGCTTGGAAATGGGAACTGCTTGTGATGTCAGCAGCAGTCTAGACCCCAGGGATCTACTAGATAGTGCTGGGAATGGGAACCACCAAAGAGAGAAAAATTAACTTTTTTTTTAGTCTGGTGAAACACTGAGTTATGCATAACTAATATTAAACACCACCAAATTTATTTAAAAATACCTTAATACATTACATGATATACATGCTGTAGTGTCCAGTGTTTGGGATTTTCCAGGGGACTGCAAGACTTCAGGGAGAACAATACAAATGCTTACCGCATCCGTGAACTTTTCTGAACACTAGTCCTGGACAAGTGATCAGAAATGAAGTGTTTCAATCTTGTGGTCCCAGCATGACCACCCACTTGTATCCACCTACTAGCAGTCACAAACCTCAGCACCATTCACACAGACCACCCACAAGCACCCAGAGCCAGCATTTAAGGCAGGGGTCTGCCTGCACTGGTGATGGGGAGGAGGGAGGAGAGTGGGTATCAGCCAGTACTAAGGAGGAGGCATGCACCTGTGCTTGATTTCCAAGAGCACACCTTTCCTACAGCATTACACAAGTCCTTGAATTATTTTTCTTTCCAACTGCTAGCCAAAGGACTATCTCCTTGGGATCTCCTTGTCTACTGTATAGATAGCAGCAAACTCATTTCCCATTGGCTCCCAGGAGGTGAACTTCCTTTTTTGCAGGCCACTTGTTGGTTTCTTTTTTTTCCTCATTCCCCTGCTAGTAAAATAAGAACTTTTGAAGACCCTCCTCTGCCCATCCCCTCCTTGACAGATAGTGTCTTGGCATCCCCCTTCCCCTCATGTGCCTAACTGATCTAAATAATTGTGAAAGAGCTTTGTCCAAACTCTCAGGCCTAATCTTTCCTCTTCTCTCTGCAGCCCTCAGAAGACGTGGTATCCTATGAGTCAGACCTCTACCGTCAGCCCCATGACTATTACCAATATCTCAACAGTGATGGAGAGAGTCACGGTGGTAAGTTTGAAAAAATCTCCCTGAAACATGCTACATCTTAGGATCCTGGAGAAAACAGATTTAGGGCACTCTGGGAGGAAGCAAAGATGCCATTTATGGTATATGGAGTAAATACATGTATTTTTGAATTAGTAACAATATTTATTCATCTAACACAATGACACTGTTGCAGCCTACCAACTATATCATATGCTTCTATAAAAGAACTTCAAAAGGCATTGAAATCATACATAAAGCTTCTAGGAGGTCTAGAATGTTGCAGCCAGACTATATTCTTGCCTCAGAAGGTGGAAACACAACACCTTTATAATTCATTGTCTCCATTGCCTTCCTATCTATCTCTCAATCCAAATCACTCATTCACCTAGTTTCAGAATGCTCCATGGACATGGATTTGTTCTACCCTACTTCTCTGACCTCACTTCCATCTCTACTTCTCCTCTGACTTCAATTTTAACTATTCAGTTTGCTTCTTCAATCTCAAATGTATTTCTCTGAGCTCTTGACCACCTTCAATCCCCCATAACCCACTCTTCTATCTTGACCTTTCCGGGGTGCTGTCCCACCTACCTGAAACTTTCACCCTCCCCCAGACACTGAGAAACTGGGTCTTTTCTCATTATCTTACAACTGATTGTATGTAAACTGGTTTACTTTGAAACATATGTTAGTCTGTTGTTTCAACTTATACATGTGATATCCAATTAATGTTGAATTAGAGCTGTTGTGTTCCTGTAGCTTGGAGGGCCCGTTGGTGTTTTGGCTAGGATTTAATTTGGTGGATTCCTATATTTTAAAAATCCTATTAGAATTAATTCTGGGCTTTGCTCTGGTGGATGTAAGATCTCATTAGTGTTCGAGCTGAGCCAAGTCTGGACTCTTTTGACATCATTAATGTGATAAATGCCGGAAACAGTTCAGTCTGTATCATCTGAAAGTGTGACCATTTTCCTAGTTGCAGTGATCACTAACTGAGCACATCTCTGCTGATCCTTCATTACTATATGAAACAAACCACAATTAATAATTAATACAAAATATTTCCTTTTTGATAGTTAATTTGTGAAGTATTTTCAAATATTCTGGGGGCACTGAGCTAAATACTCACTCTGAAGTGAGACCACCCCTCACTGAGTGATCCACATCTCCTTCTGCAGCACAGCATCCCACCAGCACCATGCTGGGACATCAGAGTTAGTACTGACTCAAAGAGAAAAGCATCCGCTACTGTACCACTCATAGCAGTTCCTCTGATTTCCCTCTAAGGTTCCCATCCACGTAGTAATCAGGGCCATCCCTATTTAGTTTAAGAGATCTAACAAATTCACAGCATAATGTACTATGGCTAATAAGAGAGATGGCACAGGGCAGCAAGTTTCTGAAGAGGCTTGGCTCATACCTGGGACGTTTAATTAAAAAAAACAAACCTACCTACATCTGCTCTTGACATTACATTCACAGACCAGATATGAAATTTCTAATTGCACACTAAATAAGGGACAGAGGAAGGGAGTAATCCTATCTTGACCCAACTACCACTGTCGCCTTTGTGAAGTCATATTGGTCAAAATAATCAAATTTGAATGCCTAAAGAAAGGCACTTAAATCCAGAGATGCAAATTCAGGTGTTTTACTTTATACACCCAAATTTGAACATGTTGACTTTAACTGCTCTGCCTCAGTTTTCACATCTGCAAAATGGGGATTCTACTCATCTCTCTAACAGAGTGGTTGTGACAGTTAAGTAGTTAATATTTTAAAAGTCCTAACACTCAACAGAATGCATGCACGTGTGTATGCGCCCACACCGCCCCTGCCATACATCCACTCCTGCCAACCTTGGCTCCAATTCCGCATATCGCTTAAGCACATCTTTAACTTGAAGAATGTGCTCAAGTCTAACTGAAAATCAACAAGATTTAAGTACGTATGTAAGTGCTTTGCTGAATCAGGGCCTTAAGGACAGGCCCCCAGTTTATATGGACATTTGCCCCTTGCTAAACTTTTCTAAATGTTAGCAACAATGCAAAATCTCCAACACACGCAGCTGGGTTTCAGTTCTCTTACTAGAGATGGTTAGGCGGGAACAATACCTCACAATCGCAACACACATTTCACATAAATTATTTTTTATTTGTATTATGGTAGTACCGGTAATTTGCCACACATTGTGAGGAGGGATATGAAGGAGCACAGGAAAGAGACTTTACAACCTATTTTAAAGGGTGTGTTCTATGTGGGCTTGGCTACACTTACATTTTATAGCGCTCTATAAAATTACCCCCCTGAATGCAGCAAGTCAGAGTGGTTTAAAGCGTTCGTGTAAACAGGCTCCGAGCACTGGGAGCCGTGCTCCCAGCGCTCTGAGCTAATCCCCTCGTGGAGGTGGATTACCAGGAGCACTGGGAGAGCTCTCTCCCAGTGCTCGCGCATGACCACACTCACACTTCAAAGCGCTGCTGCAGGAGCTCTCCTGCGACAGCCCTTTGAAGTTTCCAATGTTGTCATGCCCACATGTGAGGAGTGTTGTGGAGGAAAGTACAAAGATGGTTGTGGGATAAATGGACAAACAAGGAGTCAGGGCTGGTGGTATTGATGGAGAAAAAGGGGTGTAAACATGATAAAATACAAGAACAGATTAGTAGCGAGGGGCAGAGTTGTGAAGGGTTCATTAAGGTTAAGATGTATTCCAAAAATATATCACAAGGCTTTTTCAAAATCCTCAGGACAGCCCTGGTGTGATTATGGTGAGCAGCAAACCTCTAAAGTTGGGGCTATAGCAAAATAATTATTAATTATTTTTACTAATACTTTAGTAAGCCAGTAAATATTGTGTAGCACATTTTGTAAGACTGATGCAGTCTTAGGGTATGTCTACACTTGGAGCTGGGGGTGTGATGCCCAGCTCAAGGAGATATATACTAGTTCTCATTGAGCTAGCATGCTAAAAATAGAGCATAGCCACACCTACAGCATAGTCATAGCATACCACATATATCTAGAATCTTGGAAGGGCATGTATGAGGGATGGCTAGCCTATCCTATTGCTCACACCACTGTGGCTGCACTATTTTTAGTGCACTAGCTCAATGAGAGCTAGCATGGGTATGTCTCCTCAAGCTGGGTATCACCCTCCCCAGCTCAAAGTGCAGACATATCCTTTTTAATACGAGACTTCAGTGTAGGAGACTTCACTCTCCTGTAGCTCTGTCTCTGTGATTAATTTGTTGCTGAGCAGAGGGGAGACCACCAAGTTTGTGTGAGAGAATTAAACCGTTGTCAATGCTAATGATTTCATATTTTATTGCCATTTCATGTTATTCTGCGTTTTTCTTAAAGCGCCAGGTCCTGGAATAATTTGATTACATAAGAATCTCACCTTTCATTTTAAAAAAAGTTTATAGCCCTCATAGTTGCAGAGAAAAGCAAACATGAGTCCTAATAGTTCAAGACCCAGAAGACAATTAATAAAAACAAAACCATATATTAGGGCTGTCAATTAATCACAGTTAACTCACACGATTAACTAAAAAAATTAATTGCGATTAAAAAAAATAATCATGATTAATCGCAGATTTAATCACACTATTAAACAACAGAATACCAAATTAAATTTATTAAATATTTTGGATGTTTTTCTACATTTTCATATATATTGTATTCTGTGTTGTAATTGAAATCAAATTGTATATTATTTTTTATTACAAATATTTGCACTGTAAAAATGATAAAAAAAAAGAAATATTATTTTTCAATTCACCTCATACAAGTAATATAGTACTCTCTCTTTGTTGTGAAAGTGCAATTTTCCAATGTAGATTTCTTTGTTTGTTACATAACTGCACTCAAAAACAAAACAAAGTAAAACTTCAGAGACCACAAGTCCACTCAGTCCTACTTCCTGTTCAGCCAATCGCTAAGACAAAAAAATGTGTTTGCATTTACAGGAGATAATGCTGCCCTCTTCTTATTTACAATGTCATTAGAAAGCGAGAACAGGCATTTTCATGGCACTTTTGTAGCCAGCATTGCAAGGTATTTATGTTCCAGATATGCAAACATTCATGTGCCCCTTCATGCTTCAGCCGCCATTCCAGAGGACATGCTTCTATGCTGATGACGCTTGTTAAAAGAATAATGTTTTAATTAAATTTGTTACTGAACTCCTTGCGGGGGGGACTGTATGTCCCCTGCTGTTTTACCTGCATTCTGCCATATATTTCATGTTATAGCAGTCTCGGATAATGACCCAGCACATGTTGTTCATTTTAAGGACACTTTCACTGCAGATTTGACAAAACGCAAAGAAGGTACCCGTGTGAGATTTCTAAAGATAGCTACAGCACTCAACCCAACGTTTAAGAAGCTGAAGTGCTGTCCAAAATCTGAGAGGGACGAGGTGTGGAGCATGCTTTCAGAAGTCTTAAAAGAGCAACACTCCGATGCGGAAACTACAGAACCCGAACCGCCAAAAAAGAAAATCAACCTTCTGCTGGTGGCATATAACTCAGATAATGAAAATGACCATTTGGCAGTCCGCACTGCTGTGTATGGTTATCGAGCAGAACCTGTCATCAACATGGATGTATGTCCACTGGAATGGTGGTTGAAGCATGAAGGGACATATGAATCTTTAGCACATCTGTCTCGTAAATATCTTGTGACGCTGGCTACAACAGTGCCATCAGAACACTTGTTTCAGGTAACATTGTAAACAAGAGGTGGGTAGCATTATCTCCTGCAAATGTAAACAAACTTGTTTGTCTGAGTGATTGGCTGACCAAGAAGTAGGACTGAGTGGAATTGTGGGCTCTAAAATTTTACGTTGTTTTATTTTTGGATTCCGTTTTTTTTGTCCATAATTCTACGTTTGTAAGTTCTACTTTCATGATAAAGAGATTGCATTACAGTATTTGTATTAGGTGAACTGAAAAATACTATTTTTTTTTACAGTGCAAATACTTGTAATCAAAAATAAATATAAAGTGAGCACTGTGCAC